ATGTACAACACCGAATTACAAGAATGGTACCAGTTCAAAACGCAAGAACATTATATGAGTGAGAGGAAGATTGCGAAGAGCAAATATCGACAATAATTTCAAACACAATTATTTTTCCATTTCACATAACATTTCCACCTTACAACTATAACATTTCAGAAACACAAAATATATAAATAGAAAAAGCAAAATAAGTTGTAAAACAGTTTTTGTTATTATCATTTAACCAGTTGCGAATAATATATTTTTAATATTAATAAACAAAATTAATTAACAATGTTATTAGCTAATACGTATTAAAAATATTTAGCTTTATCAAAAAAAAAAAGAAATTCATTATAACAGTAATATGAAATAAAAAGAAAAATAAAATTTTGAAAATAAAAATGAAATTGAAGATGAAAAAGTAATTGAAATCAATTGAAAAATGTCGACTAAATTCAATAATGATATAAAATTTAAAAAACCTGATGTGGTCAGCACATAACCGACCGCATTGTGTATTGTCCAGTTAAATGAAAGTGTTAGAGAATATTATAAAAATGTCTGTTAAATACTTCTTTCCAATTTTTAGGACATTAGCAAGCTTATAGTTAACATACCTAGAAAAATGTAAATTTGGCTCTTAGTAGAATTTCGCTTTGTGCTACTCGAATTCCCTGAAATGCTCACCATAGTTTCGGTAACAACCAGAACTCAAATATCAAATTTCAAGAAATTCCATCAATTCGTTCCGAAGATATGGTGAAACATGTAAAATCGGCCCGCAGATCAGTTGTCGAGCCCTGATCTTTCCAAAAAACTTACATGTTCATTGTTTTAATATGAAGAATTCAAATATTAAATTTCAATGAAATCGGTTGAATATTTCTCTTTATATACACAAAAATGTATATTTGGCCCGTAGTAAACGTCCAGTTGCTGATGCCTGATTTCTTTCAAAAGTTAGGAATTTTCGCGGACGATCGAGCAAAGCTCACATATGAAATTTCAAGTAAATCGATTGAATATTTTCTTCAAAATGGTAAAAAATGTAAAATCGGCCCGCAAATCAGTTTTCGAGCTCTGATCTTTCCAAAAAATATATATGTTCATTGTTTCAATACGAGGAATTTATGTATTAAGTTTCAATGAAATCGGTTGATTATTTCTCTTTATATACACAAAAGTGTATGCTTGGCCCGTAGTAAACATCTAGTTGCCGATGCCTGATTTCTTCCAAAACATAGGAATTTTCGCGGCCGGTCGAGCGAAGCTTATATATGAAATTTCAAGCAAATCGGTTCAATAGTTTCTTTGAAATGGTCAAAAATGTAAAACAGTCCCGCTAAAAAGTGAAGTTCCCGAGGCCTGAGATATACCAAAGTTTGATCAACCCGTGCCATGGTGGAAATAAACTTACATATAAAATTTCATCAAAATCGGTTCAGCCGAACTTGAAATACACGCGTGCACACACAGACCGACAGACCGACGGACCGACAGGTTGCTAAAAATAGTTTACTTACACTTCCCTACTATGGAGAAGTGCATTCCCACCGAAAACTCGATATGCAAAATTTGTTGCCATCACATAACCTACCTATTGTTTAAACAATACGGTCGGTAAAAATATAAAAAAACTAAAGAACCAGATTAAAGCAAATTATTTAAAGTTAAAAAAGTGAAACTATGCGCACGCCTATTTTTACTCAGAGTCAGCCCGCTTTTGGGGGACCACGAAAGAATAAATTTTACTGAAATAACATCCACCTCAACAAACAATAGCATAGGAAAACACCCCCAATGCTTTGGCAGAACAATGAAACCTCAAATTGTACAGATTTCTTGTAATATTCATAAAATATTTCTTGAATAATTACAATTATGTGACCAATTATTCAAAAAAGAGACCCAGGCATTTAAATTCACTTGCATATTCAATTGCGGAGCAACCATCGCTACAAGATCTAGACTCATCGTAGGAACAAACTTCAAAATTATTAAAAGGTGGAAATTTATCACAAATTGGACAGAGATATTTGACATGAAAATCCGAAAGTAAATAGCCAATAAAACCAAAATGCATTACTTTAGTTTTATTACTTATAACTAGCTCAATGTCAAAAAAGTAGATCCAGATTATGATCTAGTTTTAGGATAGTTTTAGTATACAAGATCCAGATTATGATTTATATCATCCACATTAATAAGCAATAAGAAAATGCCACGATATCGGCAAATGCAGTAACATTATCCCTAAAAGGGAGGCTTAAAATTGAATCAATGAAAATTAAAAATAAAATCCCGGGGGCACATCCACTTTCAGATACATAACAGACCTAGAACAATAATTTAGGGGCATCATTTGTTTTCTATTAGAAAGAAGCAATGCCGAACTGTATCAAACGCTTTCGTGATATCTGCAACTAGAGCGGAACATGTAGAATTGATATACAATTGGTATTCGTATACAACTCGCCACAGAATTCAAGCGAAGCCTGCTGAATTGACATGCTACTCCTGAAACTAAATGGAATATTACTGAATTCTAGAAGTGAAGTGTTTCTCTAAGTAACTCACAAAACCACTTTTTATTGCCCTCTCAAAAATTTTTTAGAAGGCAGACCTTTGTTTACTCTTGTCTGCTTTCTGCATTTCTGCATAAAAATTTATATAAGCCTATAATTGTTACATCAAAAGCGTTTCCCTTTTTAAAAAGTGGAAAAACCAGTGCTGTTATCAGCACATAAGGATATAAACAAGAAATGAAAAAAGCAGAGTGTCACATATCGCCGATATAACGCTCATTCAAACACATTACGTATTAGTGATCTATCTGTGGCCAGAATAACCATTTCCAAACCATTTATTCACATAGATGTTGACTTTGCATGGATGTAAAACGTCATCTCTCAAAAACTATTGGCGATACCTAACTCACATGTGAAGAATAAATTATAGTAGTCACAATTAAAATAATGGAGAAAATAAACGCCCGATTACATCGCTTATATTTCTATCTGTGAAAACTGCAAACAATGAACCATCTAGAGGAGTGATAAACAACCTTTTTTTTAAATTGGGCTAAATGAGAAAAAGCAATCATTTCACGGGCCGCAATTATAGCAGATTTATTTTCTAGTTTCAGTAATAAGTAAATTTAATTTCAGTAATAAATAATTTCAAGACATTTTGTAGTTTTTTTTAAATGTTTATTGAATGTGTCTTAGATATTATAATTATTCTCTTGTGTTTAAGTTTACACATTTATAAAAATAGTGATTGAAAAATTATAATAAGAAAAAATAAAAATAAGTATTAAAAGTTTTAATGAGAAATTTGACACTGTTTCTTGTCGACAAGTTTAGAAATATTTGCGGTGCATTAGAAACTGCGACACGTAAACAGCTTTCCAACCTTTTATCATTCAGTCGATTTCCAGCTGAGTTTTTGATAATTTTCATTTTTGAAAAAAGCGGTTCGCAAGGATACGTACTTCCGAAGACACTACCCAAAAGTGCTGTAAAAATATGTTACAATATTGAGCGTAATTTAAACGTGGTTTTTAAATTTTTTTAAAATTTTATCAAATTTATTTTATTATTTTTTTGTATTGATGAAAATTAACCGATTCAAACCATGCTAAAGTTAATAATTCGTATAAGAAATACATATGTATGTATATTGAATTAAATTTTTTAGACTGTGTTGAAACAAAACAGTGTACAAAATATCTGAGTACGCATTGAGCATACTGCGAAAAGCCAACATTTAACCAAAAAAAATATTGTCTTTGAGAAATCTTTTTTTTAAACAATAAGTAAATAAGTGAATAAGTGAAACAAACGTAATGTTTTTTTAAGTCGCAAAAAAAAAATTTGTCGGGCCGCTGGTTGCTCATCACTGATTTAGAGTAATATTAAATCTTGATACAGGTGATATCACCAAAGCTAGTTATTATTGATAGTTATCCAACATTTTTAAAATTCTGCGAGAATACAAGTAATAATTCCCAAACTATTTCTGAATTTTTGCGTAACTTTTTCGCCGAATCTTACTCTTCTTCATCTTTTCAAATAAATGTTGAGGATTTTCGATACATTGGTAACTGTCCTAAAACTACCCTTACAAATTTTGTCACAAACTTTTCTGCGGTTGAAAAATATTTGTGGAAGACATTGATTAATCAAAAATTTATAAAATAAATTAAAACAAAAACATATAAAATAAAGCAAAGCGATAAAATTAATTTTATTTTACGGAAAGTATATTGGACCATAAATTGTAAAATCATGTTGAACAATTCATCGATCCAGGAATATTTAGCTGTAAAATATATGTATGTATGTATATATTAAAACTAAAGTTGCTCCTTATTTTAAAAGTGGAATACCATTGAATGTTTCAGGAGGTCGCAATTATCAGGAGACTACTGTAAGACTAAATTGTTATTATACATTTATACACATTCAGTATTAGTCTACTATTAAATTTGAACTTGAATCATTGTTTTTACTTTATTATTTATAGTACACTAACGTAAAAAGTTTTCCAAATTTATGTTATCTTATATTCAAAATTGTGTATTCATGACGGAACTTAACCTTGTCACCTTTTATGAATTATTCTATGTTACCTTATTCTGGTGTTTGTTTTTGAATTCACTTTCAATATGTTGATTTCATGCGACTATTTATGTAAAAGTAATCTGTAATCTTTATAAATTTCGTAGCAAAAAAATAGCAAATTTTAATTACTTTTTATACTAAAAATGAGTGAAACTTGTTTTATAAAAGACATATTTTGTGTCTTTTTTAGTAACTTTTTTTTTGTAAGATGCATTTTCCGGCATATATTGAACATCTTTTCAGTGTGTTTATTTGTGATAATATTTTACTCATTATTGAACCTCTTATGTGCCCAAGTACATTAACATATCTATGTACATTGATTATAATTGATATTTATTTTTTATTTATACATTAACTAAATTAATGTTTTTATTTTTTTTTTTCCAGTGGCATCAACGATAGTGTGATACATTTAAACAGTTATATTAATTGCAATAGTTAAATCATTAAGAGGTTGAAAGTTGGTTCAAATATTTCTTCTAGCATTTTAGTACAGCATGTTGCTGGAACTGAACTTTAAACAAAAAAATGCTACATTCCTCGGTGTAGTTATGTATGGGTTAATTAGCTTATTGGTTCTTTATAACAACCCAATATTATTAGCTTTGCATTTAGTATTTTTATGTTATTTGTTAACTGGTGATCGTATTAAATATGTTTATGCTAATGTTGTAACATTACCAAGAAATGCATGGTGAGTATTTATTTATCGTAAATATTGTTCTTTTTGTGTAGAAATATGTGACCGATTTAATTATTCTGCTACTTTAAATAACATTTTGTATGAGTGTACCAAAATGAAATTTGTTTTTGGAGAATCTTTTTTCAATAATTTCCTAACGTTTTTAATTCATTTAAAAAATTAGATTTCCACACAAGCGTTGTTTCATCGCAAACTCATGTTATTTATATAAGAGTTTATAGAGTTAATATTAAATCAAAACACTATACTTTCACATTGCGGTCTTTTCACATTATTTCTCCACTCAAAAATTCTGCATTTGCTAATTCTAAAGGAAACTCCTTAAACAACTTATATGATTCATTGATATAATTCTAAAGGAAACTCCTTAAACAACTTATATGTTTCCATTTATTTTTTAAAATTTTTCTTTTGCTAAAATTAATGTTTTGCGATGAACCGAAATTATCTTTCTCTACCTTTAAAAAAAAACCTTCGATTAGTTTTCTCTACTTTCATAAAGTGAGCTCGTAATAATAAGAGTCATCTTTTTAGAGCCACGAAATTCAACGTTATAAAATCGTCCTCGTACTTACATGGTATAATGATAATATTTATTTTTTTATATTATATTTTAGTGCGGCTGCCTTATTCATTACTTTTAATATTAAATTAGCCATATGGGAGTACAAAAAATTAAATGTTGCAAAATTATATAAAAGAACAGCTATAAGATATCCAACAAAAACAGCATTCGTTATGGATGATGTACGTGTAACATTTCAGGATGGGGAAGATTTAAGTAACAAATTGGGATCATATTTCAAAATGAAAAACTTCAAGAGAGGAGATACAGTTGCTCTATTATGTGAAACTCGTCCAGAATATCCATTTTTATGGTTAGGTTTGTCGAAAATTGGTATTGTAACAGCTTTAATAAACCATAATTTACGTAAGGAAACCTTATTACATTCAATAAAAGTCGTAAATTCAAAAGCCATTATTGTTGGCGCTGAACTAATAGACGGTAAATGTTTTAACCAAGATCGTACGGAATAAAAAAATTATTTATCTCAATTACAGCCTTAAACGATATTAAAAATGACGATGGAATTAAAAATATTCCAGTATTTCAATTTACAGATGAAAAGCAAAGGGATGATCCAAAGCTTCCAACATATAATGGTATGGCTAATTTAGTTGAATCATTGCATAAAATGTTTTTTCTTACTTATTTTTTTATTATTAGGATCAATTGATTTATTAGAAGAATTAAAGGAACATAAAACTACAGATTTAAATGAAGAAATTAATAAAACACAACCACGAGACAAATTAGTTTACATATATACATCTGGTACAACTGGTATGCCCAAAGCAGCTGTGATAACAAATTTAAGGTTCTTGACTTTTTTTTTGTCAATTGAAAAATCAAATGGGAATAAAAATTTATTTCCAATTTGAAATAATTATTTATATTTTACAGATACATGTTCATGACCACCGGCTTTACACATATGATACGCGTAACTGCAAGAGATAATATATATAATCCATTACCATTATACCACACCGCCGGTGGCGTTCTAGGTGTTGGAGCAGTTTTGTGTGTTGGTTCATCTATGACCGTTCGCCGAAAGTTTTCTGCTTCGAATTACTGGACCGATTGTATTAAATATAATTGCAATATTGCTCAATATATTGGCGAATTATGCCGATATTTGTTAGCCGTGCCACCGAAGCCAACAGATACAAAACATAATATTGAAGTGATTTTAGGCAATGGTCTAAGGCCGCAAATATGGAAACAATTCGTTGGTCGGTTTAATATTCCGCGCGTCGCGGAATTTTATGGTTCAACAGAAGGAAACTCCAATTTATGTAAATATAATTTTGCTTGTGTTTATTGACAAAAACCTTAATTATTTGTAAACTACCAGTAAATTTGGATAACCATGTCGGTGCCGTCGGGTTTTGCCCAAATTTTGCCAAGCCATTTTATCCGCTTAGTTTGATTAAATGTGATGAAGGCAGTGGCGAACCTATTAGGAACAGTAAAGGAAGGTGTATACAATGCCGACCCGGTGAGGCAGGTGTCTTTATTGGAAGAATTAACCCTAGAGTTGCTGTTAGTGCATTTAACGGATATGCAGATGAGGTATTATTAAAAAATATGTTTTAGCTAACATGAATGATTTTTTTAATTCCTATACTTAGAAAGCTTCCGAAAAAAAAATAATTCGAGATGTGTTCACTAAAGGTGATATGTATTTCAATTCAGGAGATATTCTTGTCCAAGATATTCTTGGGTACTTTTACTTTAAAGACCGTACTGGTGACACATTTAGATGGCGTGGTGAGAATGTTGCAACATCTGAAGTTGAAGCCGTTATAAGTAATGTAGCTGGATTACATGATTGTGTTGTTTATGGTGTTGAGGTAGAAAAGTAATATCAAAAACAGTTATTTTCAAACGTTAGTTTATTTTGGTTTTTACAGATCCCACATGTCGAAGGTCGAGCCGGTATGGCAGCAATTGTTGACGCCGATAATCAATTAAATATCGAAGAACTATCAGCTGGTATTAAAGGTAGTTTACCACCATATGCCAGGCCAATATTCATTAGAATATTACCAGAGCTGTCTATGACCGGAACATTCAAATTAAAAAAACGTGATTTACAAACTGAAGGATATAATTTACATAAAATCAAAGATAAATTATTTTTTTTACATAATGATGGTATATATAAAGAATTCACGCAAAAAGATTTTGATGATGTTCAAAACGGTAGAGCTAGGTTATAAATACATTCATATGTATTTATCATCAAGTTGCTAAAGAAATTATCATTAACAATCATTTAGCTATATATCAAAGATTTTTTTATTTTGTTTTTTTTATATTTTTGAGAAATGTTTTGTATTTCGATTTTTAAAATGTAGATGATAATAAACTTATGTCTTTATTATTATACATAGTAAGAGAAGTAAATATAAAAAAGGAAAACATGTTTTATTTTATAAATTACATTTCTGGTATAGGACAAAGTATGTTGAACTTCATAAGACTTCCACGAAGATCCTTCGGTCATCGCAGTATCTGGCCGTCAGCCTTGGAATTTGTTAAGTAGGAGTGGTACTAATTAATTACGATTGCAAAGAAAGGTGTATTATAAGTATAAAACCGTTGAATATATGAATAGGGTGCATGAAACTGCATTCATGTATTTTGATACGGCGGCCAGTATTTTGATGTGGTCCTGAGTCCTACCCTTCCTTGAGCCTCAGATGTAGTCGAAATTCGAAAATTTTTAAATTTTAGGCACCTAGAGCAAATAAGAATATTTAAAATTCATAATTATATCTATTAAGTTGATTTTTTTCTTCAATTTCAAAAATAGATAACATAATTGTTATACAGGTTAAAATCTTACTGAAGTAACTTTATTTCTTGATGTTCCTGAAAATTTCTTATTAGGGTTGACGTTTAGGAATATGTCTTTCAAAATGGATTATCTTGTACATTTAAATTTAGTTCATTTTAAAACAAATTTTTGTATGACAATTCATCATTTGGTTCTTTATGTATATGTTTTTTTATTAAGGCACATGTAAATTATTTTTATATAATAATTTACATTTCAATTATTATATAAAAATATAAAAATAATTGAAATGTAAATTATTATTTTTAATTTTCATTTTTTGGTTTCCATAAAAAATAAATTAAGAAACCAATTGGAATATCATACAATATTACGTTGACAAGAATGATTAATTCAAAAAATAAGGTATTGCTTTACATTTGGGCAGCAAAAGCTATTTTTCGATTTTATTATTTTTCTCAGTATTAATTGTATTTCAGTCAATAGCTACAAAAATAATCGTGTTTGTTTATTATACTTTCAATTCAACCTAAAATGTTTCATAAACCTAAAATTTAAAATCTAAATTGTAGAAAATATGATAATATCTAAATTTTAGTTTTATGAATGTAGATCGTCCTTAATAGAGATTCTGGCACTCGGACATGGGGAAATTTTTAACTAGGTCACCAGGTTAATAACAAGTGGTAAATCAAAATAATTACATTATTTTTTCCGCATTTTGTTGAATGTATTAATATATGTATTATATAATTCAGTTAATCTTTATTTCATTATTAAAAAATACAATAATATTGCAAGCTAAATATATACATATGTATGTACATATTTAGGAAAACTAACAAATTTATAATAATGAAATATTAAATATCGTTCCATTGATAAAATAATACGTGGCGAACGACTAAAACATGACTATCTAAATAAAATTTTAACAATAATAATATTGATGGGAAAAAATGATAATACAAAATCATAATATAATTTATTTTAATTTTTTTCCTCTTTTCATCATTCAAAATAAAATAAAAACAAGTAAAAACGTTTCAGTCGGTATAAACCGACTGAATTATACCCTGCACCTTTCGTTGTTTTATAGCAATTACTCAAACCTGTGAAACCATTCTATAGAAATTTCACGGACATGTCAGATTTATAACTGGACACACAACTGCCAAGTTTCATGAATCTGACTTTATTTTTCCAAATATTTAAACTTTTGGACTTGTATGGGAGCTACTCGTAGCTGTAGAACAATTTAACCAAATTCAGAAATATATCTGACCTATAACTCGACACACAACTGTCAAGTTTCATGTATCTGACTAAATTATTTTTCCAAATATTTAAAATTAGCTTCTGGAGTTGTATGGCAGGTACCCGAACCTGTCAGGCAATTCCTCTAAAACTTCACAAATATATTTGACCTATAATTGGACACATGACTGCCAAGTTTCATGAATCTGACTTTATTATTTTTCCGAATATAAAAAATTTGCTGTTGGAGTTGTATGGCAGCCACCCGAACCGGTGCAGCTATCCCATTATAATTTTCAGAGCATATGTAGAATATAATTGGACACATGTATACAAAATTTTATATTTATAGCTTTATTAGTTTTTGAAATATGTAAAATAAACTCTTTGAGTTGTATGGCAGCTACCCGAACCCGTTGTCCGGATTAAACCAATAACAATAGGACTCGTCCTTGGCACAAAAGAAAAAACTTATGAAAGTTTGGTGTCGATTGCATTATTCGTTTTTGAGTTATCGTGCGATCGGACGGACGGACGGACGGATGGACGGACAGACGGACATGTCTAAATCGACGCAGAATTTTACGCTGAGCAAGAATATATATATATATGTCCATACCGCAGATGACTCCTTCAAGTAGTTACAAACTCTAACTATAATGAAAAAAAATCCATGAACAATTTTTTAGAAAGTATAAGAAATAACTTTCGACTCATAAGAAAACTATAAGAGTAACCAACAATTAATTATACTACATTTTTTTGAACTTTAATATACAAGATTTCTTCTAACCAAATCTTCTCGTACATTAAAGTTCAAGCCCCGTAACCAGATTCTAATCTTATTAAGAAAAAAAGGGAATATACGAATTTTTCTTACGATGTGAGGCAAGCTGTTTTAAATTTGTACTATTTCATTATACAGTAAAAGTTACAAAAATAAGATCTTCTGTAATTAGGAATATTTATGTATGTATATGACAGACCTCATTAAAAAAATGAGCAAAACTCTGAAATAATATAAGGTTGTGAGTGGTAATATGCGCCCATCAACAAATAAATCAAAGCTTGCAGTAAGCCGCGGCTTCCTACAAATTAGCCTAAGCGCACCTTTTTGACACATGAACCAACCCAAACATACAATGGGAAACTATAATTTAAGGCGAAATAGAGCATAATAGATATTTTTGGAAATATTATAGGAACAATACAAACCAATGTGGTAAAGTTGTTTTATGACCAATTAAATTTTGAGTCAATTAGCAAGCCTAAATATTTGAAAGAACCGACCCTCTCAATTTTGAAACAATTCGAATAGCAAGAAAGAACTGAAAAACCAGATTTCGCAATCCGAGAATGATAAGTATTAAACTTTAAGAATAACAGAACTTCCGGTTAAGGTTGTTGATGAGTTGTTTGTTGATCTTGCCTGTAAAGTTGTTGTATTTGTAAGGTGTTGAGTGAACTGGTGTCGGTGTAGAGAAGGAGATAGTGGTTTGTTGGTCCGAACTTATTCGGTGAAATTTATTAAGGGAAGAAAACAAGAGTTTGTTGGACTTGCCGGGGTTCTCTTGAAGAGCAGTCAGGTGTACGTAGTTAAAATACATTATCTTTATATTTTAATTTACCTGGTAACCAGAAATAACAGAAAGCATGTGTAAAGTATTTTTTTAAATTTCATTTTTACCTTAAGAGAAGAAAAAACGGGTTATGTACCTTTAAAGCAAAAAAATTAATTTTTACCGACCGTATTGTGTATACAATTGGTAGCAACAAATTTTGCATATCGAGTTTTCGGTTGGAATGCACTTCCCCATAGTAGGGAAGTCTAAATGCACGCGTGTATCTCAAGTTCGGCTGAACCGATTTTGATGAAATTTTATATGTAAGTTTATTTCGACTATAGCACGGATTGATCAACTTTTGTGATATATCAGGCCTCGGCAACTGCACTTTTTAGCGGGCCTATTTTACATTTTTGACCATTTTAAAGAATATATTCTACCGATTTGCTTGAAATTTCATAATTTTTATTATGAACTTTTAGAAGAAATCAGGCGTCAGCAACTGGACGTTTACTACGGGCCAAGTATACATTTTTGCGTATATAAAGAGAAATAAACAACCGGTTTCATTGAAATTTAATATTTAAATTCTTCGTACTAAACCAATTAACATATAAATTTATTTGGAAAGATCAGGGCTCGAAAACTGATCTGCGGGCCTTTTTTACATTTTTCACCATATCTACGGAACGAATTGATGGAATTTCTTGAAATTTGATATTTGAGTTCTGGTTGTTACTGAAACTAACTGGCGAGCATTTCAGGGAATTCGGGTAGTACAAAACGAAATTCTAGTAAGAGCCAAATTTTCATTCTTCTAGGTATGTTAACTATAGGCTTACTAATGTCCTAAAAATTGAAAAGAAGTATTTTACAGATATTTTTATAATGTTCTGTAACATTTTCACTTAACTAGACAATACACATTGCGGTCGGTTATGTGGTGATCACATCAGATTTTTTTTCTTATGTAGGAAAAGCTAATACATTGCATAAAGCATTGAATTTTTTTAAGTCGAATTATGATAATATTTATAGAACGTATGTATATTACTCGTATCATCAAAAAACATACATAAGGAATACCACTAAAAAAATGTATAAGCTACTTTCACGATTTTTGTATTACGACTACTTTCACAGGTTTCTGAGGCTGATCTTCCAGTATATGTTATCAGTTTAGTTTTATGGATACGTAGATGTCGTTTTGATCCACCTCTACTTATTATTCGATTTGGAACGCATTTTGACCCACCTCTACTTATTATTCGATTTGGGACGCATTTTGATCCATATTCAAAACACATTAGTGTTGGTTTTAGTACTTTATTAGTCGGAATCGGAAGTTAAAAATAGAATGAGAAATATAATTAATTGTAATATAAAAAAAAGGAATAATATAATACAAATTAGTTGTCAATTATGACATATTAAAAACTCTGAAATGTTCCTATTTTCAACATTTGTATAGTTTCAATTTTTCAAGCCCAAAATCGCCATCAGCTTCATACATATGTTTTACTTTCTTTAAAATCTTCGTTTCATCAGTAGGCATATATTTAACAATTATAAAGTTCTTTTGTTGAACCTCTGATTTAGTGTATACAAATATCTACATATGTACATATGTTTAATTTTTGAATGATGAATTGAGTTTTTAACTAGGTTTTTTGCGCTTAAATTATCGCCATAAATTACAGTAAGTTCTTTTATTAAGTCATTTAATTTTATTAATTTAAGAAGATTTCTGAAATATATTGCTTCTTTTGTCGCTGCACATAACGCTACATATTGAGCTTCTGTTGTACTTAAAGCAACGGATTATTGTTTTCTTGATTCCAAAGACACAGGGACATTTGCTACGAAAAATGCAAATCCGGTATGAGATTTCCGGTCGGTGTGGTTTCCAGCCCAATCCGCATCATCATAACCATATAACGGTTGTCTGGTTGCTTTATATATCATCTTGTAATCAGCCGTAGTATTTAAATACCTCAATAGATGTTTAGCAGCTACCATATGTTCCATATGGGGATCCTTGTTAAATTGGGATAGTTTACTTAAAGCAGCTGCAAAATCTGGTCGAGTTGCTACAGATATATACATCACTGACCCTATGAGAGACTGGTAGGATTTATGATCCACTTTTGAGCATTTGTTACATTTTTCGCAGTTTTTTAAAATCGTACCCGGGTCCAGGGAAGTTTGGCATTTTCGCGAATCAAACACATTATATTGAGCTACTAAATCTCGTATGAATTGTTCTTGTGTTATTTCGATTATATTTCTTTCGTAATTTTACCGGTCTCCAATTTCCAAAAAATAGTTAACAGGACCCTTGTCCACTATATCAAATTCTATGCTTAATTTGAATTCTACCTCATTGATCATTTCGCTCGACTGACAATCTAAAAGTAAATTATCTACATATACAATTATTAAAATTAATTTACCCTTAGATCTCATAAAGTATATACAAAAATCACTAATACAATGAGATAATCCTACTTTACAAAAGTACATGATCCCATCTTCTGTTCCAATCCCTACCAGATTGTTTGAGTCCATACGACTTTTTAACTTTGCATACGTGATTTGTTGAATTAGAGAAATATTCAGGCTGTAACATATACACTTCCTCCTGAAGATTTCCATTCAGGAAAGCAAAAGTAACGCCAACGTTATGTAAAATTAATTGATATTCTACAGCAAGTGAAAATAATAAGCGAATAGTACTAAATCTGGCAACCGGAGAAAAGGTTTCATTATAATGAAATCCAAATTTTTGACTACATCCTTTGGCTACCAATCTGGCTTTATATCGTTCAACTTCACCACATTTCTTTTTGTACTACATATCCATTTACATAGAATAGCTTTTCTTTCATCTGGTAGATTCATTAGTTCTCATGTATCAAATTAACGTATCATATTCAATTTCCATTGCTTGAATCTATTTACTAGCATCTTTTCGTGACACAACTTCTCTGTACTGTATCAATATCATTCAATGATTTTATTAAATTTAGTTTTGTTCTAATTATTATAGGACGACCTGGTTTACTTGTTCTTAATATTTTTGGCCTACCGCCTTTATTTTTGCCATCATTAAAATTATCATAATTATTTTCATTATCATCATCCGTGCTTCTAGTGCTTCTACTTCTTTAATACAATGAGATTCTATTCTAAGTTCTTCAATTCGTATGTCATTAATATTTTTCGTAAAATCACTTTCATTAACTTTTGATTCACATTCTTCTCGTTCTGAAATTTTATCATCATTTTTACTAATATCAATTTCATTGCTGACTGAATATTTGTTCGTATTATCATCAAGACTAGTGTCATTATTGAAATTATCGTTTTCACTTTCAAAACTTACATTATTACTGATTATTATATTTCCAAAATCAGAATTTCCAGTATTATTTTTAATTTCAAATTCATTAAATATCACTTCAGGATCAATTTTCTCTATAAAACATACATTGCGACTTGCATACATTTTTTTCTGTGAAGAACAGTATAACCGATATCCTTTTGCTTCTTTAGAGTATTCAACCGTAAAACATGGTATACCTCTCGATGAAATCTTTGACCTCTCGAACCTATATGATTTAATAAAATTGTTTGCTGTTAATTCAATTACCTCTATATGTTGCTTGAAATTAATAAATAAAAAACACATGTGGCTTGTACATCCACTATCAAAAACCCAAATATTTTTATTTATTAGGTGATTAGAATCTTTTGGGTTAATAGAAATTAAAATTGAAAACATTGTAGTAACATGTTCTATTACGGATTTTTTCATTGGATGATGTAGAATTTTTATTTTTCAACTAAATTATTATTTTTCAATTAAATTTCATTTAATTGTTTAGGTTTACATTTTAAATAAAATGTTTCTTCGCAATAATCAATATCAGATACATTTGAGCGTCTGTGACCTTCTTCAAGCAATTTTGCTTTAAGATCTAAAGATCAGGTAAAGTATCTCTGGATTCAATTGCAATGACAAAATTTTCGAACGAGTTTGGTAAACCAGACAACATCACGATTGAAATCAATTCTTCTGGTAATTTAATATTTACTTTTGAAAGTTTTTCAATTAAATCAAAAAATTTATTTAAATATTCAATTATAGAAACAGTTTCTAATAGCCTCAAATTCAGAAGTTCTTTAAACAAACTTACCTTACGTATTGGGCCACTTGGCTGATGTATTAGTTCTAGTTGTAAACCAGATGGAAAATTTGAAAAAACTTTTAAAAACCTTATAAATACGTCATAAATGTCAAATTTCAAAGTATGTATTCATCAAACATAAAGAAATATTTTTTGGTTGTACGAAAAGCCGATAATTTTGATTTTGGATTATAAAAGTGTGAAATTGAGAAAAAACCATTTGTGAACCTATTTTGCTTATTTTATTTTTAATTGAAAAGTTTTGAAAAAAAATTATTGTTGATGAAATATTCTTTTTTTCAAATGAAAAACCTTCTGACATAACCAAGAAAAACATGTTTCAACAGCTGTAAGATTTTTAGTTTTTAAAACACAAAATTTTATTTTACAAAACTTGAAAATTTAAAGTTTAAATAATGAGAAAATGAGAATGCCATGATTTTCTCTCATTTTGGTTCGAAAAATACTATCCTAGACGCATGCAAACACTTTATAAAGTTTTTAAAAGTTTATTAAAACTTTTTTATATCAGACAGAAATAATATAATTTACCGCAATATTAAAATCTTATAAAATAGCCTTTTTTATAACTAATTAAATAACGGTTTTTTCATGAAAACATTTAAAAATAAAGTTGGGTCAAACCAATGGTTTGTATTGTAACTCCCTTCAACAAATGAAAATACTGCTTTTAATAAAGTTGAGTCAAACCAATGGTTTGTATTGTAGCACTTTTCCCTTCAACAAATGAAAATTCTGCTTTTAAATACAGTCTATGCATACCTATCACACTATTAAAATTATTTTCATTCATATACAAAACTATTTCTAGGATTGCATATATTTAGGATGAACGATTTATGCAGTCTTTGAAATAAAGCAAAAATTAATATAAAGTGGGGCTAACATAATTCTCGATTTAAGGGTTAATTGTGTGAGTTAGGAAAAATAATTATATTTTTTAATGTCACGGGATTTACCGTTAGCTTTTTGTGTTTATAGAAATTTGAAAAAGCTTGCGGTTTCGGAACTATAAGGTGTCACAAATTCAAATTTTACAAATTTCAAGAGGCGATAACTTGAGAGGGGGTGGAGATGGAAAAAAATTTTCTTCTAACGAAATGAACTATTTGTTAATGTCTAAAAGCCCCTAAAATTTCAAGCTTCTGCAGGCTGGGGTATAGAAGAAAAACCAAATCAAAAATTTGGAAAAAAAAAGACTTTAGACAACGGTAAGTTTGAACGGCCATTTTGTTTTTCTAAAGTTTAACTATAGTATACCGCGCTAGGGAAAGCAAGCCGCTGCCTTTCTGCGTTTACAAAATTTCAAAAATGCTTAAGGTTTCATTGCAACAAATAGTTAAAAAAGGCCATTTTTAGGGTTTTGGGGGGGTATAACTTCTAGAGGAGGGGGGGGGATATGTAAAAATTTTGTTCTACAGAAATAAGTTTCTAGTAAAGATCTATGTACATACAAAATTTCAGCTTTCTATCTTCAAGGGTGTAGAAGTTTTGTAAACAGACACACGGTCAGACGGACGGACAGAGTGAAACTAATATGCACTTTTTTTCAAAAATTTTTTGGAAAAGTGCTAAAAACATGTATTCCTACTATACTATTAAAATCTGGCATATTTTCTTCATTTTTTGCTTATTATAGAATAAATTTTAATTAATTGGTAGGTTTTCAATTTTAAAAAATAATAAAGGAATATTACAGAATTTATTTTATGAGAAAAAATGATCAAAATCATTATAAGAACTTTAATATGTAAATTTGGTAATTTTTAAGGTTAAGGTTTTCCTTATATAATCAAAATGAAAAAAATGTTATTTAACGGATGCGATCACCCTCATTGGTGATGGCCGAAAAAGATGGCAGAGTTAAGGATGATAACTTTGAGAAAAAGTCTAATAAGTTTGAAGAAGACAATAAAAAGAAAACCCAATATTAGATACTCAGGACTGGAGAATAACCGAGTTAGAGAGTCTTTGCTACAAAACGAGATCTGCAAATTACAGGCAGAGAATGTAGATTTAAAAAATCAAATAAAATCCGCATCAACAGAAAAGAAGAACAAAGATGCGGAAGTTATTGTATATGAAACCGACGAGGAAGAACTGGCTAGAGAAACTGACTGGATCCTAAAACAGAATAATGCAAAGAAGCGAAAAATGAAAAAGTCTCCTGAAATAAATTCAGAGAGGATAGTTAAAAAAAATAATGAAACAAGCCCTAAAATGAAGGCTGAAGGTTATACTGAGCAACATTAAAAACTACTCCCCTATTGTGAAGATATTAAAAGAAGAAAGAATAAACGTTAAGGTCAATATGATAAATAATGACGAATTAAAAATTCCAGAATAAAGCTCTTCGGAGCATAGTAAATGAGCCATGGTATATACGTAACAATGATATCCACAGGGGCTTAAGAAATCCTGTGGTTGTAGATGAAATTAGGAGTTGGGCTACAGAGCATAGGGCTCGTCTAAAACAGCACGTTAATATGGAAGCAGCTCAGCTGCTAGACAATGGCGTTATGACAGAAAGACTTAAACGAATTTCCTTATGGAAGGTATTTAATTCCCGTACGGAAAAAGCATAGCGCAGAGGTAATAGTTGGTCTTTAGGACCACTATTATTCGCTCAGAGTTTGGGTGATTTTTTAGGGTAGAACTCACGATCCCCCATTGTCGGAGGAAAAAGGCAGATAGCACCGTCCTTCTTCGTCTTTCGGGATTTTTTCACCTAGTAGAAAAAAAAAAATTTAACGGCTATGAAATGGGGGTGTCAATAATTGGTCGAATTTTTGCTAAATTTCTATTATTGTCATAGGGTGTCAATAGCTTATACTATACCAGCTAAAAATTGCATATTTTGCAAATCTTTAAGAATAAATAACTCGGCTAAAAGAAGAGCTACAAAGAAACTTTATTTTAATAAAATAAAATAATTATAGTGATTGTTTAAACTTAAGATACATCCGATACTTGTGAACATATGTATATGTATTTTTACTCATATGTGTATGTACATATGTATCCGTTTTTTAAGCTTTTCTAGCACTTCAATATTACGTAATAAAGTTTTGCAAGAAGTTATGCAATAATTACTTTTATTAGCCATTCTTTAACAATTATGTAGTATATAATTATTGCTAGAGTTTGATTCAATATCGTTTATAACTAACAGCTGCTGGATCAGAGCTTTTAAAATGTTTTAAAATTTTTACTTTTCTAGATTGATAAAAATTTTCTTCTACTGAAATAAGTTTCTAATAGAGATCTATGTACATATTTTTTTTTTTTCTTTTTTTTTTTTTTTACCGAGAGGACGGGTGAAAAATCTCGAAAGACACTGCCAGACGAAAAGCAGTAGTGTGGAACTTTAATCCACTAAAAAACACCCTCCTCAAAATAAACTATAAAACTAGTCGGAACGACTAACCATTAATTTTGCTCTAACTTTTTTGATTATTTACAAGCCTTTGATCTGACACAATAGTGTACTAAGTACTCATTGTTCCAGATAAAAAACTTTAAACTAGCTCGAGAGGTCTCGTACGTTTAAGTCTCCTAACAAAGTTTTGATAATCAACCAATCGTGCCGCCTCGATGTTGACATGATTGAATAAACGCATTTTATGATTGGCTGCTTGCTTTTTAATTTCGTCTGTGACACTTTAGATCGTGAGATCCCTGTGTATATCAGCATTACGGATATACTAAGGGTCGTTTACAATGTCCCGTAATACCCTATTTTGAAATCTTTGTATAGATTGGATATGAGTCTGCGCAGCGCAGCCCCACAACTGAATACCGTAAGCCCAGACAGGCTTAAATATTTGATTATATATCAAAACTTTGTTGTATATTGTCAATTTGGAACGCCTCCCCAAAAGCCATTGGAACTTTCTGTATTCCTCCTCTAGTTGAGATCTCTTTTTCTTTATGTGCTCCTTCCATCTGAGCTTCGTGTCCAACGTCATTCCCAAATACTTCGCCGTGTTTGCGGACGGAATCAAGACGCCATTTATTTGAACCGAAAATGAATTGTCAACTTTCCTATTAGTGAAATTTACATGTACTGATTTCACCTCGTTAAGTTTTATATTCCACTTTCTAGTCCATTTTGAGATCTCATCACTGGCCCTTTGCAATTTTTGTGTAGAATCATTTTCATTTCGTCCAATTGCGATAACTGCTGTATCATCAAATGTAGCTGCTGTCACTTCTTCCGATTCAGGAATATCACACGTGTATAGCAAGTACAATATCGGGCCCAATATACTCCCCTGTGGTACCCCCGACTTGATATCCCTAAGCGAAGAGTACTCCTCTTCCTGTTAAACTCGAAATACCCTATTAGTCAGGTAAGATTCGAGCAGGTCAACATACTGCCTTGGTAGTAATCGCCTAAGTTTTTTTATTAATCCAAAATGCCAAACCTTATCGAAGGCCTGGGCTACGTCCAAAAATATGATAGAACATACTGCTTTTTGTTCCAGTGAATTCTCTATTAGGTCAGTTATTCTATGAATCTGATCTATGGTTGAGTGGTTGCGGCGAAAACCAAATTGGTGATTCGGGATTAACCTTTTACTTTCAATTATAGGCTGGAGTCTTCTCAATAAAAGTTTCTCTAGTAGTTTTGAAATCATTGGCAACAAAGAGATTGGTCTATAAGAAGTCGTCCTGTCTATAGGTTTGCCAGGTTTGTGCAGCATGATTATCTCTGCAACTTTCCAAATTTCAGGCACGTAATTGCACCTTATACACGCATTTATTAAGCGCGTAAGCATCGTTATACCCCTTTTGGGTAATTCTTTCAAAATATCGGCCGTTATTAGGTCAAATCCTGGGGCCTTCCTAGGTTTAAGAGCCCTTATTTCTTCTATAACATCTCTTTCCCTGGCAATTGGAATAGTCACGCTATCCCCAACAAAAGCAGATTCCTCATTTTCATACACGCTCCGGCTGTCATGCGGGCAGAATATATCGGCCAAATGATCCGCAAACGCATTTGCCTTGTCCTTGTCAGTTTTTGCCCACGTTCCATCTTTGTTTTTAATAGGAGCGAGATGTTTGATAGGTCTATGTACATATAAAATTTAAACTTTCTGTCTTTAACGGTGTAGAAGTTTAATAAATAGACACATGGACAGACGGACGAACGGATGGAGTGCTAAAAGGAGTGTTGCGATTTTTATTTTCCTTAATGGGCATATAGCAAGAAATTTGTATGACATAAATAATAATGATTTCTTTTATTTGTGCTTACTTGATATATCAAATAAATTTTTCGATCCACCTCATACAAAATTAACATTAAAATCCGAAAAAGTGGATATGGATTAAAATCGTACTGGACATTTTTTACTTAACTTGCTATAGCTCCCGATCCGTTGGTCGAAATTGAGTAAAACTTTATAGTCAAACCCTTAAAACTATAATAAACTAACTGACCAAAATTTAGAAAATCCAATCAGTTTTGAAACAAATTTTTTCTAAACTTCAAACGTGATTTTCTCGATTCAAAACTAGTGTCCTATGGATCGAAATAGCACTCAACCGAAAAAAATTTTTATTTCTTCTTTTTATTAACATGTAAAATAAACATCTTTCACATAATATACTTAGTGCTATGTAATATTTTCAGAAATACGATGAAAGTATCATATTGCAAATCTTTAGAATTAGGGTTTTCTCAAAAAAAATTTCAAGTGCAACTAAATTTGCTTTTCTTGTCATTATTAATATTATTACCATAAGTATTTTTTATCTTGTTATAAAGTAAACTAATTAGTTCATATTCATTCATTTCATTTGATTTTAGAATTAAATTTAGAGTCATTGATTGTTAGAATACAAATTTATAAAATGATAAAAATTTAGTTCAGGAAATAAATAATAAAATATAATTAGCAGCAGTGTAATGCGTTATGTTTTTAATTTTTATGTATTTTTTCTAGTGGTATTCTTTATATGTATATGTTTTCTGATGATAATATATGTTCTATAGATATTATCAGCATATCTTGCTTTGTTCTCTTAATAAACTTCACCGCGCAACTCCGAAAAGACCAACAAACTCTTGTTCTCTTTTCTTAATAAACTTCACAGAACTTGCTATTGAAAGAAGATTAAGAAACTTCCTTGAACTTTGACTTACAATTAAATTCTCCCCAACAAAAGCTGGGCAAGAGCAGTAAACCACTATTACCTTCTCTACATCGACAATGGTTCATTCCACAGATCACAAATACAACAAATCCACAGGCAAGACCATTAAACAACCCATCAATAACTTTATCCAAAAGTTCAATAAACTTTTTTAACTTGTTGTACATTTCTCAATAAAATGTGGAAACAATAATGTAATTAATTTAACTAATGACCTGTCATTGACCTCGTGACCTAGTTAAAAATTTTCTCATTCCACAGTGCCAGATAGGTTTGATCGTATATGAAACAGATGAAGAAGAGAAATAGAGAGACCGATTGGATTTTTTAAAACAAAAAGAGAAAAGCCAATAGTTCACCAGAAATGGAACCGGAACTGGAAATCAATAGCATTCTTGCTCAACTTGAAAAACATATACTACCGGCGGTAATAGTAAGTAATGCAATTAATTACACGCAGCTGATAAGGATCCTCAAAGAGGAAAGTATTAACATAAGGGTAAACATGATGAACAATGATCAATTAAAAATAAATGTTGAAAATGGAAATGAATATAGACAATTAACTTAAGCTATTAATAAACCCAAATTGAAGTGACATACTTATGAAAATGAATTGGCGAGGCCAATTAAAATAATGGTCAGAAACCTACATCCATCACGTGAGCCACAGGATATTAAACGTGAACTTATCCAAATTCTCTGTAGTCCTTCGATCACACTGAAAACATAAATAAAATATAAAATAGAATATCTTCAGCATATGATAGTAAAAGTTGAGCCCCTTAAATATGTTAAATGTGCTGGTAATTATATGACGGCAGAATGTAATAAGAAACATCATTTTCAGGCCAGGTGTGCAAACTGCTACGAGGCATACCGTGGTTACCGAGGTTGCTTAGTGGCTAAGGAATTAAAAAAAAGGAGAATGAAAAAGAATCGGTCCTGGGTAATCATAAAGGGAGCCCAAGAACTATTAACGCTTTTACATCAAATAAGGTAAAAAAATTTTGTTGCATACTCACAAGAGGTTTCCAAAAGGGGGGAAAATTATGTAGGCAAGGACCTGAGAAAAGCATGAATAATAAAAAAATTGACGATAATACAATGCAAAAACCTAAAGAAATTGACGGAAGCATAAAGCAAATGATGCAAGATGTGCTACAAAGAATTAACGAAATCTCAATGAGACTAACTACTATAGAAAGTAGATACACTAACGTATATCTAGCAACCCTGAAGCGATTGGTGAAACATATTAATCATTAAAATACGAATTTGCACATTGAACGTCGTTCTAAGTAGAAAGCACGATTTGGTGGTTTGGTTTTTCTTAGAGCTAAAAATACCGATATACGCTTGTTATTAGAAACACACTTGAGGAAGGACTTGGATGTACTGGGTTATAGATGCTATAGGACAACTCAACCTGGTAGCCATTCAACAGGAGGTAATGATAGGTCGTTTTATAAACACAGTATATCGCGATATATGGTGAGAACTGCGCTGTATTTGTGTTCATAAACAAATGTTGCTATTCAAGTTTGTTCATAAACATTGTTAATCTATCACAAAAATATTTAAATAATCATGGCTAGCGCAACTAAATCAGCTGTACTTTATTTTTATTAGCTTTGGTATTTTCTTTTTAAATTTTAATTTTTAATTTTAAAATTGTTAATTGTTAAATATAAAAAAAATTACTTTTCTTTCAGTTTTCTTTTTTTGTTTTTCTTAATTTCAATTTTTCCTAAAATAGAATTTTTCACTATTTGGTTCCAAATAAATACAACTGTTAAAAATATATTGCATATATGTATATCACATTATTGTTTAGCGTGATGAGGAATCCAAAATAGAGACTGAAGAGGTTCAATGCGTTATGGTTAGTCTTGAGTCTACAAAGCGGAACTTTGATGTTGGTTCAATATATTATCCACCAAGATGTAACGTAAAAATGAATATTTTTAAGCATCTGCTATGCGCGGGCTGAATTTTATATGTGGATCGGGGCTCTAGATTGACCTTAACTAGATGGGAATTTAGGAAAGTTATTTGGGAGTTAGGATGTTCCTATATTCTACTAGAAGTCCGACTTGTTGGATTTTAACTTTGATCCGACAAAGTAACAGGGATGAATCTGCGCTATTGATGACTTGAAGGGAATTTTTCAACCAAATGAAAATATTGTTTTTTTAGTAGAAGATTTTGATATGGATGAAAGCACTATGGCTTTATTTAATGAAAAAGAAATTTGCCATGCGATGAAATTACAAAAACCGATTAAGGCCCCAGGTTTTGATCTCATTACGGCTAAGAAGTTAAGAAAATTGTCGAAAAAGGCTATGGCATTTTTGAAAAAATTGATAAATATAGCAATTAATCTGAGATATGTTTCTGGTACTTGGAAAGTAGCAGAAGTTATCATGATAGGAAAATCGGGGAAGATCTTGAATAAGTCTCTACTACCAGTTATATCAAAAGTTTTGGAAAAATTGTTTTTAACAAGGCTTCAGCCTTAAATAAAATATAGAAATTAATAGAAAATAAGAAATTGATTCCAAACCATCAAACACACAAAAATTTGGTTTTAGAACAAAGCACGCAACAATTGAGCAAGTACATAGAATAACAAAGATTGTGGAAAAGACAATATTTCTGGATGGAGCCCTGGCGTTCGATAAAGTTTGACACGACGGTTTATTATATAAACTTAACAAATTTTTACTTTTGCAATTTGTGGAGTTACTTGAATCATATTTATCTGGTAGTTTCCATATCAAACAGGACAGCGAGTACTCCCCGCTTACAGAAATTAGGGCTGGTGTACCTCAAGGCAGTATTATGGGTCCTACATTCTACGTGCTTTATATAAGCGATTTGCCAGATTAAGGCGATGTAACTTTAGCTATATTTTCCGACGATACAGCAATATTGGCAGTTAGATAAGCAGGAAGTTAGGAAGTTATAAGCAATATTGGAAGTGGCAAACAATTTTAGGTATGATTCTTTGATTGATTTTCAGCAAGAACTTGTATGGGTGGTAGGGGGTACACGTATACTCGTTTTCGAGCTGCAGCCTGTTGAAAAAAAGGTACCGGATTCTTCCTGCATTTAAATAAATGCTTATAACTTCGAAACCATACATCATAGTGTTATTAGTAGATTATTGTTTTACAGACGATTGATTGTTCCTTATTTTTGGTCTTACAATCAATTTGATTTGAGTGATAGTTTTCGAAATACAGCTCGTCAAAGTCAGAACTTTTGCTTTTTTTTTTGATTTTTTTTTACAAAATTCGAAATTTTTCAAAAATTTTTGTTATTTTTTTTTTAATACGCTACGACGAGATCTAAAAATTAACCTATATAATATTTTGCTCTATCTCTCATAGTTTTGGCAGTAAAACGTGTTAAATATATTAAAAACATGCGAAAAATACAATCATCTAGTAGCTTCACTGAGTGCTATTATTGTTGAAGTAGCTACAACTAACTTACGCTAACTCATTAATGATACAGCTCCATCATCAAACATATTCAGAATATCAGAAGTTGTTTTACCAGATTTTTCGCAAGCAGCAAAATCTGACTAGCTATAACCAAAAAGATTACCACTTCCTTTAATTGAAGATTTTTTTGCCTTTTATTTTTGCTCATTGCCTTTTATTATTGGAGTTGCAACTGGTTCACAATTTTTGAAATTAAACCTTCTGATTAATTTTTCTGTATATGCCAGTTAACACACTTTAATTTCTCCTTCTTGATATCAAGTCCCAAAAAATATGTTGCTCATTTTGTAGTTATTTTGAACTCTTTACTTATCTATTTGGTTTTGTAAAGTACTATAAATATTTTGCTATCTTTTTTTTTCTCTAAAAAACAAAAAGCTATCGGTTTCACTTTCCTTCAAATTCAACTTTTTCACAAATTGCACAAATCTTTTATTCCAACATCTCGGGGCCTGCTTGAGACCATATGAGCTCTTTTTAAGTGTGTACAGTTTTTTCCGTTTCATCCCTATATGCAATGGGTTGATTCGTGAATATTTCTTCATCCAAATTACTAGAAAGAAACACCCTTAATCACGAGGCGAGCTTAGAATTTTTCAATCAAAACTGTCTGGATTCATTTTTATATGGTATACCAATTTACATGGCAAACCTTTGGAACCTTTAGAAAGATTTGGCAACTTCCATGTACAATTTTCATATAACGCTTAAACTTCATTATCCATGGCCTTGTACTATTCTACATTGTATTCACTGGCAACAACATCTTGACACGTTGCTGAAGTGTTTGTGCTTTTCCTATACCTTCAGCCGGTAATATAAAATATTCATAATGTTTTATTAATGTTATTATTTCACAATTGCGAAGATTTCTTTCTGTAGGAATTAATTCAAAATTTTCACCATTTGCGCAGTTTTCGAAATAATTATCTTTATCTAATAAGCTGATGTAACTATCTTCTGTTGATACAGATCTTTCTCTGATTCTATTCATCTTCACATTCTATTTAGTTCAAAAATTCAATATTTAGATTGTTTGATTTTTTTATATCTTTAAATGATCGACTGACATATTCGTATTCATTTTTACAATCAATAACTTTCTCTTCAAATATAACATCTCTTGCTATAATTAGTTTACATTGTTGTGCATTCCATATTATATAAAATTCAATTCCATTACACCCAATGAGATAACCTTGTGAACAATTGATAAAAATCCATTGTTCTTCTTTTTTGTTTTCCTACATTTTTCTTTGATTCTTGATTTTTTGCCCATTCATAGTTCATTTATTCTTTACTGATGATTTTGCTGTTCTGTGTAAAATACATATTGCTGTCAAAGTCAATTCAGCCCATAAAACTTCTGGAAGCTCATATTCCCTATTACTAAACCTGAATGTTCGAGCCATTTATACAATTGTTTCATTGTCACGTTTCACAATACCGTTTAATTCTGGAGTGATGTAAATGATTGTAAAATTCCATTTTGCAATTTTCATTGTTGGTTAACAGCATCCAATCTGATTTAAAAGAATCAAACTCCACCGGAACAATAAGCAACACTTTAAAGACCAACAATAATTCTGGTAATACATTCTCTTAAATTTCCTTTAAAGCATTACTCAGTTCATTCCAAAGACATTTCAGTTTAGCAATATGGGTTGATATATCGTCACTTGTTAACAAACCAAATGAAATTTTAAATAGTTGAATAGTTTAAATAGTTTAAATAGTTAAATCTGCAGAAATTTTAAATAGTTGATCTTTTGAGCTTAAATAAACAAAACATAAAAATTACCTATTCCGAGATAGTTAAAAAAATTCTTTAGTTTTTATAATTAAATCCAAACGTTGACATTACAAAAAGTCAAGGCCTGGACCTTGCCTTTTTTGTGAATGTAATTGTGAATGTAATACATATGCATTTGTTAAAATTGATAAATTTAGCGAAATGACATTTCTGAAGGTTCATTTTTTTTTGTTGTTTTTTTTTAGAAAAATGAAGATTTTTACCTATTTTCATATTAAGTTTTCTGTACGAAGAATTGACTAAAATCTAAAAATTATTATGCTATCATATCTATTATTATCACAAAATTATGATAACCTAAAAGATCACGGATTCTTCTCTTTCAAATCGGCCAATCCTTTTCACCAGTGGATGGCCGAATTAATTTCACCACATCCATAAAATATGATTTAAATTACAAAAGGCCAGTGATGAGATCTCAAAATGGACTAGAAAGTGGAATATAAAACTTAACGAGGTGAAATCAGTACCCATAAATTTCACTAATATTAAATTGACAATTCATTTTCGGTTCGAATAAATAGCGTCTTGATTCCGTCCACAAACACAGCGAAGTATTTGGGAATGACGTTGGACGCGAAGCTCAGATGGAAGGAGCACATAAAGAAAAAGGGATCTCAACTAGAGGAGGAATATAGAAAGTTTGAATGGCTTTTGGGGAGGCGTTCCAAATTGACAATATACAACAAAGTTTTGATATATAATTATATAATTTTGATGTCTGGGCTTACGGTATTCAGTTGTGGGGCTGCGCTGCGTAGACTCATATCCAATCTATACAAACATTTCAAAATAGAGTATTACGGGACATTGTTAACGCCCCCTGGTATGTCGGTAATGCCGATATACACAGGGATCTCACGATCCTAAGTGTCTCAGACGAAATTAAAAAGCAAGCAGCCAATCATAAAATTCGTTTATCCAATCATGCCAACATTGAGGCGGCTCGATTGGTTGATAATCAAAACTTTGTTAGGAGACTTAAACGTACGAGACCTCTCGAGTTAGTTTAAAGCCTTTTATCTGGAACAATGAGTACTTAGTATTGTGCCAGATCAAAAGCTTGTAAATAATCAAAAAGGTTAGAGCAAAATTAATTTTTAGTCGTTTTCGACTAGTTTTATATTTTATTTTGAAGAGGGTGTTTTTTAGTGGATTAAAGTTCCACACTACTGCTTTTCGTCTGGCAGTGTCTTGCGAGATTTTTCACCCTTCCTCTTGGTAAAAAAAAAAAAAATGTTATCTATTGTTGGTTTCAAAATTCTGAATGTTTTACGTAATTTATTTCGAAAGGGAATTTCTAGGGATGTGAATGGTGAAAACTGATAGTTTTGCCTAATACGATTAAATACGGTTAAATTCTGAAATTCTAGTTTTTATTCTATTTTTTTTATTTTATTTTCTTTAAAACATTGTACTCAAAAGCAGCATTAAGCTCTACAGAGTCTGTTTATAACACATTTTTTTACATTTTTTTTTTTAATAATTAGAGGTGATATTAAAAATAAAATGAAAATATACTATAATAGAACTAAATTACAATTTACAAAAAATTAGATTATTTTAGTAAAGAAGCATTATTTTAAAATGTTGTTTTCATATAGGAATGTTAAGAAAAACTTTATATACATATATTATATCAATAGATTTCTTAATTTTGTAAGGTAAAAAAAATTTGTTGACTTTTTGAATTGCTCTAGATTAATTTGACGCATATTTTCAGGTTACTCGTTATAAATTTTCGTTGATTTGTTATATATCATTTCCTCATCGTTAAATCTTTTTATATAACTGTGGCTTTCGTATATTATAATTGTGGCTTTCGTGTACCAATTTGAAATTTATGTTCGTGTTTGCGTTACTATTCATTATATTGTGTACAATGTATATGATATGTTAGCATTTGTTAAATTGTCAGCTTAACAGGAAGTATGTCATGTTTTTTATGAATAACGTTAGTAGATGTTCTGCGTTCATAGCCATATAAGTTTTTTATTGCTTTATTTTGTGCTTTGAATCCATATTGAAATGTATTTGTTAGCATATTCTGTTGCAAATAATGGGCAAATTGATAATTTACAAATTTTTCTATTATCTTGCTGAATATAGAAGGTATTGCTATTGGTCTAAAATTTTCGATATTGTCTAAATCTCCATCTCGTTGGTAGATCGGAACGATTTTGCCAATTTTTAACATATCTGGCATTTTATGCTGTTTAATTGATACAATAATTAAATCTGCGATGATATTTGCCAGCTCGTCACGACAATTTTTTACTAATTTTGTTGAAATTTCATCAGCTCCACTTGCATTTGTATTTTTCAATTTATTGATAATACCTATTACATCTACTTTACTAGTAGTATTGAATTTAAACCTGTCATCGGTTTTATTTGTTATTTCATAAATAGCATTTTGTGTTCCCTTCTTATACACTATTTGGTAGCCAAATTCCTCAAGTTTGGGTCTCCAACGAACAAGGTTGGAGTTAGGATCCTTCAAGCTCATCAGCCAAGTTAAAGGCTTGTGATTTGTAACGATCTTAGATTGCCGCCCAAATAGATATGGCCCAAAATATTTGGTTTTCATAACAGACAGGTAGATCACTTCCAATTTGGCCTTGTGATAGGACAGTACCTATCGCGAAATTACTAGCGTCTGTAGTTAAAATGAAAGGTTTTGAAAAGTAAGAATATTGAAGGATAGGGTCGTTTATGAGTAAGTTTTTACAGTTTTCGAAGGCTTTAATATAATTATCACTAAAACTTATTTTTGCCCTTTTTTTTAACATTCTGTTAATGATTTAGTTATTTTATCAGTTATTCTAACAGTCCAAGGAAGCTCTTGATTTGTTTTTGTGTTTTTGGAACGGGGTAGTTTTTCATAGCTTTAACTTTTTCTGGATTTGGTTTCACACCATCGGCAGAAACAATATGTCCTAAGAAAGCGACTTCCTTATGTAAAAATTCGGATTTATTGAGTTGAACCTTTAAATTGAACTGCCGAAGTATGTCAAAAACTTTTTTTAAACTTTCTTTATGTTCCCGTAAGGAAGTTGAGTAGATGACTATATCATCCAAGTGGACTAGGCATATTTTGCCTTAAAGATCTTGGAAAACATTGTCCATTACGCGTTAAAAGGTTGAAAGGGCATTTTTCAGCCTAAATGGCATTCTAACATATTCGAAATGTCCACCTTCCACTGTGAAGGCCGTTTTTTGTATGTCTCTTGGATCCATTTCTATTTGATGGTCTAATAGTCTAATTAGTTAAGCCTACGGTAATCTATTACTGAATTCCTTATTTGTTTTCCAGATGCATCCCTTTCCTTGGGTACGATCCAAACCGGAGAACTCCAAGGAGAGTAACTAGTTCGAATTATTCCCTGACTAAGTATGCCATTAATTTGCCGACTAACTTCTTCCTTGTGTATGAATGGATACCTGTATGATTGCGTATAAATGGGAATGTCGTCTGTTGTCATTATCCTGTGTTAAACCCGGTTAGTAATAGTTAGAGTTTCGTTCTCGTTATAAAATATATCGTCATATTGTCTACAGATACTTATCAGAAAATTCTCTTCTTCCCTATTAAGGTGAGAAGTCCTGAGTGAATTAGTAATATCAGCAGAAAAAGAATTGGAAGGGCACTCAACAATAAATTTGTTAATTTCAATGAATTCACCAGATTAGTACGGAGTGATTTTTAGTGGTTGTTCCAAGAAGATGGTTTGACTTCATTCGAAGAGTATATAACTTCGACACAACTATACCAATCCGGACAATTGCAGATTCCCTACCGGTAACTTAGCTACTAATTTTGAGTTTGATTCTATGTTATATTTATTCGACATGAAATTAGGTTTAAATAGTAATTGTAATTTTGAGTGTTTAATATTTTACTTTAAAAATCTACAGCGACTCCCAAGGATGTCAATGCATCTAGGCCAAGAAAACCGTCAAAATAATTATAAAATTTTAATATGAGGAAGGTTATGGTTGGTTGAATTCGATAAAATTTAGTAATGTAACCTGTATGTCTAATTTATGAGAATTTAAAATAATTTTAATTATTATAGGGTTTGTTTTTTGAAGGTCTTCTGGGTTTATATGTTCAGGATTTATGAAAGATGAAGATGAACGTGTGTCTATAAGGAATTTTAAGTCTTCCAAAAGGAGAGTTTTGTTCATGTTTGTTGATATCTATGTATCCGATTGGTTCTTTGAGGCTGTGGGACGAAAATTTGTCTCATCAATTTCGGGTTCCGAATTCTGACAATTCTGGTCATTATATTGCTCTAAGTTTTGATAATTTTAGTTATAATATTGGTTTAAATTTTGATAGTGAGATGAAGATATATTGAAAAGTTCTTTACTTGTAAATGTAGGTTTGTTTGTTTGTCTGAAGAAATAACTTTGAGAAGGTTTGCGGAAGTTTGAATTACCAGGTGAAATGTCCATCTGTTCGGGTTTAGGAAATTGATCAGTTGGTCGTGAAAATTGATTTGGTTTAGAGAATTGATTTATTAAACTAAGTTGATTATGATGGAAATTATGGTTTCGATTAAATTGATTGTTACTGAAATTTCTATTGTTAAAATTTTCACAGTTTGGCGATTATATTTAATGTTTAATGTTATTTATATTTACTGTTTTTATTATGTTGGTATTTTTTTTTAATATTGAATATTATTGAAATATGGCAATTAGTTAATATTAATTTTTTTTTTTATATGTAATGTGTATAAAGCTATTTAATATCGAATATAATTTTTATAGTGACCTGACTGGGCTTTGAACCCTAGACCCTTCAGTTAAACGACCAGTGCAATAACCATTGCACCATTGGTCAGCTGAAAGATGTTTCATACATATTTAAATCTTCATTGGCTGGGCCAACTATTTTCTTCCTAATTGCTCTAAGTAAAAGTTTGAAGTATGGTGTATCTTGTGTACACGAAATAAGTTAAAGGATTTCTTCTACATTAATAATAAAATCGAACAAAAGTTTGGAATTACCTTGGAATCTGAGGTAGTTGTTGTTGGAGCAGAGTTTGTTGCCATATCA